CGAGTCATTTTTTCAAATTTAAGGGTTGTCCAGATTCCCTTTTTAGAGTGGTCGAGGAATCAAGCCGACCTTTAACTCCAGCTCCTTTCACTTTTCATGTCGCACCATCGCTTCATATAGGCGGTGCTAATCTATCACTCCTTTCACCCACCTTCTCAGCATCCAACCTCAGCCCATTTCCAACTGTCTTTGTGACGAATCTAAACTTTTAGAATGCTTAAACGAAAATCGGGTTCCCATTAATTAATCTTTCTTTATCAGCTTATCTCACGTTGGCTGTTTTAGGTAATTTTCCAAAGCCAGAGACTTGACCATATCAAAGATAACTGGAGCAAATCCGGATGCCTCCCCCCACTACACTCAATCTCAAGTATTGTTTTGTTCATCCACTGTCGTTATGGGCGGGAAAGAGAAGGGAGAGTAATATCTTTACTATATTTAGTAATAAAAAAATATATATTTCCCTGTTTATGTGTTTCTCGGTCAACCGGCCCACACAGCCTATAATCATTAGTAATTAATCTTCCTTTATCAACTTGTCTCCAAAAAATAATGTCAACTATAAAAATTTTAACGAATATCACAGAAATTAAAATAAACTGTTATGGTAATTTACCCACGCACGCATGGGCTATGCCAGCTATATATAGGAGCAGGTTCTGCCTTTTGGAGAGGGAAGTTTCCAGCAGTCAGCTCTGACAGTCGGACCGAACATTCTTGCTGTAACTCTCTCGTTTGTATATTTTTGTATTACTGTTTCTGTTAATATATTTGTTTAATTCAATTCCTCTCTTGTGTCTTTATTTCTAGCCCTAACAAGGCCAGAATATAAATGAACCCGTCCCCAAACTTAGGCACTAATCTTTATTTTTGCAGGGATATTTTTCTTCTCGGTGGGCAACACAAACCAAATATTTTGTCTTTGTCCAGAACAATTTAGATGTTACTTCTTTGACCACTCGTTTTCTTTACAGACAACATGTTTTTCTATTTTCCAGGACTGACATCTTAAATGATACATTGTCTCTTTCTTAACGGCAGGAAATGGGGAAGAATTGTAGCCTTGGTTTTGAATTACGTCGAGTTAAATTTGGCTTTGATTCTCTTTGGAACTGTTCTTGATATCATTTTATTATGTTAAAACATAATTTATAACACATTTCGTGTTATAAATTTCTTCTCAACTTTTCAATTCACTTTCCGGAGAATCTCAAAAATTATCATACAGTTAGTAGTTTCTTTTCCTTTCTTCCGATTAACTCCCTGAGGTCCCAGTGTCACATTACTAGATTGGCAACTATGTATCACCGTTTTACTATGAAACTCGCAAGATAACAGTCTGTTTTATTCTGATAGTTTCTTTTCTTTCACATTTCACCTGTCGAACTCTCTTTCTGTTTCTTGGTTTCTTGTTGCCTACAATATTCCAAAATATAAATGCAACATAAATCACCATCTTCAGCTTTCTTGGACCCTGTTCTTTTATTGTCCTTTCTCCTCACTAAAGCCTTCTCATTCTCTTTCACTCCCAGCTATCCACTCAGTATAGTTCTCGGATAAACCAAGGGTTAGCTCTCTGAGTATTAGAGAAATACAAGTATGACTGAGTAGGCTTCTGCTACAGGGACTAGCAACCCACCAGTAAAAAAATCAGCCATCAGTTATTTAATTTATATTTAAGTTGTTGCTTGCAAGCACGTAAATATATATATGCCTGAATTTCGGAAATGGTTACCATAAAGGCGTTAGGAATTAAATCTCACAAGAATAGATCCAGATTCAAATCTAGATGAAAGGCTTTCTCACTCCTTGAAGAAACCCCATCCTGATTGGTAATGTCTTCAGGAGTGTAGCCGTACTCACCACGCTTAGGCAGTTGCCAGTTGGTGAGACTATTTAATCCATAGTTAGAGGTTTTGAATTCAGATTTGACCTTCTCCTAGACCCGTTTGCCACGCGAAGCTACAGGACCCAGTCTGCCCTGCTATTTAGTCATAGCTGGGAGGAGAAGAGATGGATTCAAATCTTTTCCAGTTGTATTAGCACGTAAGTGAATATAACGAAATTCGGATGGAATTCGAACACGGTTCTCCAGTTTTTCAATTCAAACCAATATCCATTCATTTCACCGTGCTATAAATGTTCTAATAACTAAATTTATCATTACTTTCCAATGAGGTAATGAAAATCTATATTGTGGTCCTCCTATATAACAGTGAATGCTAGATAATCACCTCACAGACGAAGACGAGACTTGAAGCAACAGAAATGTGATTCTACAGAAGGATGTTGAGAATACCATGGATTGAACACATGAGTAACTAAATTTTAAGGAAAATACTTATACTTGGAACCTGAAAGGGATAATTAAAATTTCTCGTGCACATAATGAAGAAAGAAGGCTTGAAAAATTTGACACTCACAGGATATAGTGAAGGCAGTGGATTGATTTGCTTTTTACGGGTTATCAATTGAAGGTCATGTAAAGCCAGGAAATATTTTTAGATTATAAGAACATTTTGGAGAATAATGATGTCCTGATTTAAGTTCTACTATTTAACCCACAGCTTGGAGGATAAGAGGTGGATTCATATCTTTCCCAACGGTATTCGCGTGTAAATGTATATAACAAACCCGGAAGTCGATACTACGATTTCCAATTCCGAACTGTTGTTCATTACACCACCCACGCATCCAATACCAATTGGTATTCCCAATCTAGGTACTGAACAGGATCGACGTTGCTTAAATTCGGTGATCGTACGAAAATCGATATGTCAACATGATTTGTACGTAAGCCATACAACCCGCACATCTAATATAAAGACAAATGTTATTAACAAGCAGTTATCCATCTAGGTAATAATCAGGCTCGGTGATATGTATTGTATTCATATTCAAATCTCCACATTATAAATAGAAGTTGATACAGCTGGAGTATAAACAAATCCTTTGGCTCTTTTTATTCTTTGAATATTAGCCAAAGCCCCAGGGGTGTTTCATCCCAGGCAGTAACTCTCCCTCGGGAGAGAGCTGGCTTTATTGCCCATTTCCTGAGGTGACCCCATAAGGGGAAGTACCGAGGGAGCTTGGGGAATTTTGCGCGGTATGTCCGTTAAACACATTTTAAACCTTGACTTTGTGTCACATCCGGTTGCGACATGGGCGCCCCGGTAAATACCACAAATCCTACTTTGAAGATAATATTTAATTCAGAAAAATCTTTAAAAAACTGTTTGCCAACCAAGGCGAGAGAATAAAGCTGTCCTGCTATTCGACCCACAACTAAGAAAGTGAGCACGTAGTGGAAAATAGAATTGGCGTTCCGAGTTCATATTCCAGCCGAGGTCGTTGCGTTCACACAAATACTCCTCGAAATATCTAGATTTATCTCTTCTTCACTATTCTCCACAATTATGGGTTAAATAGCGGGACAGACTTGGCTCTTTAGCTTTGGCTGGCAACCAGTCGAGAAGACTATCTCTGAATGGAAAAAAAATTCGGCGTGAGGCGAACAAATCCACTCTGTAAAAACCTAATTACTAGGTAAACCGAAACCACATCAGCAACGCCTAGATGGCTGAGGCTGTGGTCCCATATTCTACAGGAGGGTGGGGTGTATAGGACCTAGACACATCCATAAAGAAGTGAACAGAGAAATAGATACTGTTGCGACACTTTCTCGGATTTACTAAAGCAGCGGCAGCAATGTTTTCCACAAGTAAATGATGAGTGTAAAGAAATGAATGAATTTCAACAATTTCAAGAAAATAATAATGTTATAGGCCAGAGAATCTCACCCGCTGTGTGCCGTGCCATCTTAAGTCTACCGTGAAATATTGTTACGGTATACATATATATATATATATATGTGTGTGTGTGTGTGTGTGTGTGTGTGTGTGTGTGTGTAAGGACTAAGAGTACAGTCTTAGTATTTGAATAAATGAATAAGTATTAAACTTTGTATCAACATTAACTAAAAAGGATTTATCAGTTTTGCTAGCAGTATAACCCGTCTTCGACCGCGTCTTTCATTACTGGGAATTTTTGCCGTTCATTTGAAGCAGTTTAAGTTTAAAGTCAGCCTTCCCGAAAATCAATATTAATAACAACAATTGTGTGCAACTGATGCACATCCCCAAATGGGGGAGAATAACAATTTGAATTACTGGTGGCCCTGAAAAGGACCGTTTTTGCGTTTCCAATTTTGTTTCAGCCTCACGCGCAGCAGCAGTTGAAGAGGCGTTTCCTCTCGGCCGTTGAGTCAGCAGTTTCAAGTATGAAAAAGTAAATTAAATTTTGCCTTTGATTTTTGCGCAAAAGGTAAAAAAATCAGTTTTTTTTCGATTTTTCACCTTCATCGTTGCAATTTTTTCCAGCCAATTTGGACTCAAAACCGGCACTGAAGAATTATCGATCAAGCAAAAAAATTAATCGAAATCGGATGAAAACTGTGGAAAGGCATAAACAACATCCGATCACACACACATACATACACACACACACATTTTGAGAATTATAGATATAGATTGCATTTTTTCTACTTCTTATTTATCTGAATTAGGCTTCTCGAGCCTAAATAACATAAAAAAATAAGAAGCGGGAAAGACGACGCTCAACTGAAGAAGAAATGAGGTTCTGCTTATCGTACATTCGACCAAAGATTGAAGAAAATCGCACAAAACACCAGGCATATTTTTCAAACTAAATAAACTGAACAAATAATTGACTAGAAAAATTCTATGGTTTTATTTCATAACATTTAAATGTATACCCTTTTGAAAATTTTGCTAAGTGTGCCGTGATATTTTCATTTGCTCCTAGGTGTGCTGCTGCTTAAAAAGGTCGAGAAACACTGTTATAGACTTACAGCCAGATCATGTCGAAACACTGGTTCCCGTACGTTCCCGTAAGCATCGTTGAGCCTGGTTAGTACCTAGATATGTAACCGCTTGGATATACCAGGTGCTGTAAACTTGGATGTACCCGTGGTATGACTTACGACTATATTACGTTCAAACACCGGTTCCCTCTCGTACGTTCACCGAATTTAAGCAAAGTCAAGCCTGGTCACTACCTAGATGGGTGACCGCTTGGGAATACCACGTGCTGCAAGCTTGAGTGTGCGGGTGGTGTAATGGATAATGGCTCTGAATTGTTAATCGGTGAGCCAAGTTTCAATTCCAGTCGATTTCGTTATATTCACTTACACGCAAATAGCCTTGAGAAAGGTATGAATCTATCGCTACTCTCCCCCCCCCAGCTATGGGTTAATTAGTAAGTCTTGTATCACTAAAACAATTATTATCTCAAAAAAAAAATTCTTACAATATAAAAAAATATTTTCTGATTTTAAATAACCTGAATCAAATAATCAATAATGTTCACTGGACTTTACAGAAAATTAAGCGATGTCTTTGTTTTGAAGACTAAGTATGAAAATGCAACTTCAAAAATTAAAGAATATGAATTATTTTTAATGAACCAGCCAGTTCACGCACGAATTTACATGTGCAAGCCAAATAATTCCTCGCCGTTGTTATTAACAATTCATTCTTTTCTCTTTAGAACTCAGCAAATAATAATAATAATAATAACATACATTCATACGTTATATTGATTAATTCGCATAAAATTAAATGTGTATAGACTAACCAGCGCCTCCTACAGACCTCCACAAGAAAAAAAGATATTTATCACCTGTCGTAAACCAGAGGGTGCTCATGAATAACAAAATGCATTCATTGGCTCATTTCAGTATGCGTTTAATGTCACGTGACGGTCACAGTAACCTCCACAAACAAACAAACAAAAAATACTCCGAATTATTTAGTGGTTTCTCTTTCAATGATTTGTCCATTTAAAAGAGTGCACAGCTAAAAAGATTTTTCCCAAGGCTATACGAAGATACAAATTTAGTATAAACACATATAACGTGCGTGCTTTGTATAGAATACTTTTTTTTTTTTCATTCTTTTTTTAATCATTTCACCTCAAGAGAAACGCAAATAAAGCCACTAAGATGTAAGCGGTTACTAAGTGTTAGAGAATATAACTATAAAATTCTATCAAGGCGAGAGAACATTAAAAGAACAAGAATTACGACGGCAGAAGATAACGATTGACCGCATTTAAATATTTGAAGATCAAGGTTGACTCTGCGAACCAAGAAGACGGAAGGGAGTTTGTAGGGACACTATTATTAATAATAATAATAAATAAAAATAAAAATATAAAATAATAATAATGAACATCATAAATAAAATAAAACAAATAACATAAAAACGTTGTTTAAAATAAATTAAATAAAAATAAAGTTCTCCCGGCATGCAACAGAAACTTTTCCTGTCGAAAAACGAACTTCCCGCCAAAAGACATTGAACTCACTCTCTTCACTACCGACCTTTGGACAGTTGAGGCGTTCAACTTCTCTCTCCGGGATAATAACGATGACTTCTTCCTTTTATCACATGCAACCTTAAAACACTTGTAACCAAAAATACATACACCAGTACATAAAAATAAATAAATTATATGATATTAATGTACAATTTAACATGTTTTACGATAATCTTTGTGTATGTTTTATTCCTGTAAAGTATGTTTTATTTCCTGTGAACACGAGGCTATTTCTGCTGCTATGCTGTCAGTGACCTCCCCAAATTTCACAAGTGAGAGAGAAGAAACTGTTAACATAGAACTTACGGTTATATCAAGTCATACCATTTGTAAAATGATGAGACCATACCACCAATTTTATTAATGACACTCAATTTCTAAATTTCCCATTAATTCTGTGGGTATGGTTATTTTTAAGCGTAGTTTAGATATTACACAAGGCCGAAAGTATAGAGTACCTAGGGAGGATCGAACTCACTTTTCAGTCGTAACTGATATAGCGAGACAAGCTTGCTAACCATTACACCACGACGAGGTGCCCATGATTCTGTGTGTATGTGTGTGTGTATATGTTATTGTAGTAGCAGCCTTTTCTGTAACCATTTGGTCAGAGCTACAAAGAGTCTATATTTAAATAAGCTTGAACATACGCCTGCCTTTGTATACGCAAGCACAGGTGCTAGTATAGACATATATGGGATTTACTGACATTATTATATCAACCTTTGCCCATACGAACAACCTTTCCTGGCTGTTCTCCATAAACAACACTTGAAAAGTACGTAACTTTAAACAAGTAGCAATAAAAAACACTTTTAAAATATGACCGACTGTAATTTATAACGCCAATAAGAGTTCCAAGCGAGTTTTATTTATAAACCATTGGTGAGGCAGTAGTAGCTATACAAACCACAAAACCAGAAACACTCAAATACAATGAATTTTAAGCTATGACTTATATAAATAACTAATTGTCTCTCTCTCTCTCTCTATCTATCTATCTATCTATCTATATATATATATATATATATATATATATATATATATATATATATATATATATATATATATATATATATATATATATATATATATATAGGCAGTTGTAGCTCTACAAACCAAATATATATATATATATATATATATATAATCAATTCACCCCAAGTTAGGCGATAATACCGCTAAGACGCAAGAGGCTGCTGAGAATGAAAGAGAATAAAAAGGAACCGAAAAACGAATCCTAAACGGGAAACAATGAATAAACATCTCCTGTTCAAAACACCGGGGAGGTAAGACATAGGTGAATCGGACGATAGGAGAACGTGTACATATATATATATATATATATATATGAATAAAAAGAAAGAACAGTAAGATATATAATCCGGTGTTCTTATAGATACTTTTATTTTTACAAAATAGTACTCATTGTAAATTTACAGAGCATTAATATTATAAATTAATTGATTTAACATATTTTTTCGCTACACAGTTCTAACCATGTTTCAAAAATGGAACTAATGTCTTTAATTTAATTACAAAATTAAATTCGGAGCTTTTAGCTTCCATTTTTGAAACATGGTTAGAACTGTGTAGCGAAAAAAAACATATTTTAAATCAATTAATTTATAATATATATATGTGTGTGTGTGTGTGTGTGTGTGTGTGTGTGTGTGTGTGTGTGTGTGTGTGTGTGTGTGTAAATTTTCAGATGGAATATATCTGTAAAGGGACAATGAGAATAAAAGGCAAAGAGAAAACTTACCTTAGCCGAAGCATTTCGTCCTCTGAGGGACTTTATCAACGCAAATGCAAGGATTTTATTTTGCTGCAACAAAATAAACAATAATTATAATTAATTACAATTCTATAATAATATTTTTTTTTAATCCTCGCATTTGACTTGATAAAATCCCACAGGGGACGAAACACGTCGGATAACTTTTGCTTTTATCTTTACCATATTGTCCTTTTACATATATACTGAAATTTTACACGCACGTGCGCGCACACACACACACATATATATATATATATATATATTGTGTATTTAAACAGCAATACTTCTTTTATGCAAGTTTCATTAAATATGATAGACAAGATACTTTGATTAAGATTTTATATAATTTCTCATTTTTTCATTTTCGTAGATAAGTTATCAGCAGAAAAGAAAAAATTATAAGATCATATAAGAAATTATATAAAAACTTAAAGCACCTTATCTGCCATTTAATGAAAGATTGCATATATATATATATATATATATATATATATATATATATATATATATATATATATATATATATATATATATAAAAGGAGAGAGAGAGTCATCCACAGACAGACACTTTCGTTGCATCACAGCTCCTCAGGGTGGCTAGACGTCCGATTGCCTCAAGCCGGATCGAAACCAGATATCTTACCTCAAGAAGGCAGAAAGGAAGGGAATTTTAACGTTTTTCTCTATAGGAAATACACCAGCGGCTCGGGGAACTCAATTCAATTTACTTGAAGAATATATATATATATATATATATATATGAACAAAGACAAAAGGAAAACATATCTTAACCGACGCGTTTCGTCCTCAGATGGGCTTTATCAAGGCAAATGAAAGGAATGTAATTTGCAACAAGTATTTATAACCAAAAATACAAATGTCGTTAAATTTTCAGAAATTTTAAATCCAAGAACGATTAACAATATACATCAAGCTAACTGAAAGTCAAGGTAAATTATGGATAATGCTAAGTGATGTAATTTAATGTCTAATAAACGAATGTGAGGAAATGCTTTTATTGTTGAATTTTTATAAGTTTTATCTATTCATCTTGTTTTTAACAGATATTATACTTATATCTGAATTTTTACATACACATAGAGACACACACATGTATGTATATATATATATATATATATATATATATATATATATATATAGAGAGAGAGAGAGAGGGGGGGATAGATAGATAGATTTAAAAATGTTATTATTGAATTATGTTTCTTTTTTCAGAATAAATAATAATTATGCACCAACCCTATATATATATATATATATATATCGTTAAAACAATATCATGTTAAAACAGAAACAAAAATTGTATTTCGCCAAAAACGGTCAACCAGAGTATTTATGGAAAATAACGTTTTTAAGACAAGCAATTCTAGACCTCAATATCAAGAAAGAGCGCATTAAGAGTAATTAAATAAAATCAAACGTTCACTTATCTTATCCCTACTCATAGTTTTGCGGATATTATATCCACTATTCAGAGAACTTGCTTCTAAAATACATATAAAGAATTAATTGTAAAATTCTTGAAGGAATCTTACAATCAAGTCAGCTAAAGAGTGAATATAATCACCGTAAAATTCCGAGTAGAAATAAGATAAATGAAGATTTAATTTTATTTATTTCTATATAGAATATTTGTATACAGTCTATACATAGATAGATAGATAGATAGATAGATAGATAGATAGATAGATTTTGTTATTAATTATAAAAGGAATCTTTTCTCCAAATAAAAATTCGTCTTTTTTTCATTTCTAAGTAAACTGTTTATACGCATCCTCTTTTGTTATGAAAATGGCTGCGGTATCTTTAATGAAAAATTACCTTAATTTTTTAGTACAGCGGCACGCCTTTAGTGTATCCACTGTTCGAAGAAGGCTGTCCATACCTGATCTAGATATTAACATTTTCGATTCTCGTAA